AGCTAGCCCATATTGACAGCTCTAGACTTACATGACTAAATATTAATTAAAATTAGATTATGTATTTGAATTGTCTAAACCAATGTAAAACCAAAGAACAAATATTCAATATTATTGTCATTCTTAGTGTTGAATTGATTTTCTTTTTGCATTAGTATTAATTTGATTTTGATTTAAGCTTTATAATTATAATTACCAACATCTGTGGACTATAATCTCTATTGAACCATTTAGAATTCTAAGTTTCAAACTTGAAATAATATATTAAAAGATAAAAACTATGAAAAAGTTTAAGAAATATTTAAAAATTATATCAAAGTAAATATTTTTATGTATAAAATAAAATTTTAAAATTATATATATAATGTCGGGTTGGTTTGGTCTCGGGTTGGTTTTTTTTAGTTAAAACCAAACCAACCCAAATATAGTCGGGGTTTTTTTTCAATACCAAACCAAGTCAAACCAACCACTAGTCGGATTTTTTTTTCTCGATTTACGATTTGGTTCAGTTTTTGGTTCAATTTTGTACACCCCTAAATTCCGCGATCCAAAAGAATATATCCAAGAGCTTCTCGTCGCAACCAATGATACCTTTGATTCATTGAGCGAAAGCCTTTTCATACAAAATTCAAAATCACTATAATGGATTTTCGTTTTTGTTCGACCTATCAATCTAACAAGTGTCATTTATTATATTTAGTTTAACCAGTACTAGTATATTATTTTTTTCATGTTATTTTATGTATAAATAGTTACTAATCTCTTCGTCTCATTTTACGTAGCATTTTTTGAATTTCGAGATTCAAACAAGTCTATCTTTGACCTTAAGTTTTTCATAAATCTTTTAAATATTTTATATTATCAATTATTGTGACTTATATTACTTTTTACGTAGTTTACAAATATATAAATTTCATTTCAAAAAAATTAAAGATTTCGTGCGCAAAATTCCAATCAAACTTGAATTATTTGACTCTTGAAAAACGAAAAGTGTCACATAAATTAAAATAAGGGAGTTGTATAAGTAAACTTTATAGTGAAGTGGTGTGACACCAATTGGGTGAAGGTTTGTCAGCCACCAAATACAACAAACCACAGAAAACTATTGTTCAAAAAAGGTAGTTTACGTGTATACCCGACCCCCACATGCAATTAGAGCCGTCAATATGGGCTAGGCCTGTTGGGCCGGCCTGGCCTAACCCGGGATTTAATAGGGCTGGGCTAAAATTTTTGGAGCCCATTTAAAAAAAAGGCTTTTTAGCCCGGCCTGAATAAGCCTGCTGATTTGTGGGGCTTGAGAAATATAGGTAGGGCCGGCCCGTGGGCTAATACAAATTAATTAAAAAATATAATATAATATTAAAATTTAAAATTAAAGAGATCCAAACTCAAAATCTATTTAAAGTTTT